GTATTGCACAGATGAGCAATTATAGCAGAGAAAATTCATTAGTGCTTCCACTCATATCCTTATGTGTGAGTTGGTGAAATTTAGCCTGAGCTTGATTCTTAGGTCTTGGGACTCAGTTTCCAACCTTCATATTAATGCTAAGAATGGCCATATACCACTTCATTTACGTAAAAGGAATAAAATAAGCAAGTTAAACTTCAGGGTCCTAGAATTTTTCTGACTCCTATAATCCTTCGGCAGAATATGAAGAAATAACAAAGCATGATCTGCAGTGGAAAGGTTTTTTTTTGGCACTAACTTCATGCAAAATTTCACAGACATCTATGCATTAATTTAAATTCTTGGTGCAAATGTGTGCTTTGTAGTTCAACCTTATTAAAAATTCTTCAGCCAGTTAGGATTTCAAGATACATTAGTGAGAGTAACAGCTAGCAGAATAATTACAATGGCTAAAACGTTTTTATAGAGGATCTTGTTTTTCAAAAAAGAATAAAAAGTTTGAATAGCTATTATTAAAGAAAAGCCATGTCTTCAACATCTGAGTCACCAAGAAGTAACACTTTTTAAACTTGTTAGAAATCCCTGGAGGCATTTTAAATTCATCTTCTAACCTACCTAAGCACTTTAAAATACAGGCTCCTTCTGTTCCTCTGTTCCCCTTCATGCCTCCTTTTGAATTGATATCTCAGCTGTCAATATTTCTTTGACTTCAGCATTGTCATTTTATTTCTCTGTATCAGTGTATCCTTAGTTTTGTTAGCCTGTTAATTTAAAAGTCCAGACTTGGGGGTCATTGTGTTGCTACCCAAGAGAAAATGCTACAGTTCTATAGATTGCACATCTTTCTTTAAGGCATACATTTACCTCAGGAAACTTACTCTAGTATGTTCTCATATACTGAATTCTCAACTGAAAAACTATTTCTTTATACCTATAAACTAGTACCTAATTCACTGTTAGTTAAACGAGCCATAGATAAGGCAGCTAAATTTCTGAAAGATAGCCAGAGTAAGTAAGCAGCCACTGCAAGCTCTGAATCAGTTTCCAAAAAAAAGAAGGAAAAAAAAAAAAAAAGGAGCTGTGCCCCATAGAACAATGACAGCATCACAAGGGGAAGGGAGAGATTTTGCCAAAAGTTAGAAAGGGTGGAGCTGTAAGCCATGTGCATGGTGCCTTTGACAGTGACAGTGCCCCCTTACAACGAATTCCACTAGGCATGGGAATGTCACCTCCTTTGCCACTGTACCCCATCAAGCTTACTCTGAATCAAAGTTTTTGTAAAACTTGAAAATGAACTTAGCTGCAAAATATAGCTAACCACCTTTCATTGCAAGCTTTGCAAAGCAAAGAGAGGTTCGTACTTCTCATAATTGGTATTTAGCACAATTGTAAGACACAGTTTTACTGTTTGTTCATTGTTTTTTTTCATTAAACTTTTCTAGAGAAGACAAAAGCTTACACTTCTGACATGGATAAGTGAGATGGTGTCTAACAAGCAGTGCAATATTAGGCGGTGCAATAGAGGCCCTGTTGGCGAGATGAGTTTTGCTGGAGAGCTGGACGGTGTTGGTTAGCTTCCTGCATTGATTGCCCCTGGGCATTCTTCCCCCTTAACTGTGAAAGCAGAGTCTATAAATGAACTCTTTACTCTTACAAGGTAATTTACATATTTTCTTTCTGTTGAAATAACTGAAAATGTTAAATCTACCAGTTGTTTATGTCTTGTAAACAGAGTGTCATATGTATTTAAGTTGTGTATTTTTATAAAGTAAAGCCAGATATCAAGTAAAGCCACACTGGTCTGTGGGCTGCATTTATTTGTGGAAACACTGGTCTTTAATGGAAAACATACTAAGCTAGAAGCCAGTCCAGTTCCTCACCAACTGTGACCCTCAGTAAGACATTCCTGAGAATGGCCCACCCGTCTTTCAGGGGAGCTACTCTGTCCTCTTCATCCTGCTAACATGGTCTAAAGGGGAGATGTTCAAAATGTTCAAGGTCTTGGTTTTTTTTTTTTGAGATGGAGTCTCACTCTGTCACCCAGGCTGGAGTACAGTGGTGTGATCTCAGCTCACTGCAGCCTCTACCTCCCGGGTTCAAGCAATTCTCCTGCCTCAGCCTCCCAATTAGCTGAAATGACAGGTGCCCGCCACTACGCCTGGCTAATTTTTGTATTTTTAGTAGAGATGGGGACAGGGTTTCGCCATGTTGGCCAGGCTGGTCTCAAATTCCTGACCTCAAGTGATCCACCCACCTCGGCCTCCGAGAGTGCTGGGATTACAGGCGTGAGCCACTGCTGAG